GAAAAAAACAAGCAATTTCTCGTAATAGCTGAGCAACATATATCAGTGTGATAGATAAATCAAGAGCATAAAACACAGCTGTTAGGATAATCCCTCTTCCCAAATGTGGACTGCCGTGTTTTGTAGCCCAACTAAACTGATCGTTTGGAAGAGAGATTGGCCGCGCTGCAATGTCAGATACATTCGTCAGTAAATTTATATCACTAATCATGTGGTGAGATGCCCCTGAGTCAATAATGATATTATATTTGCTATTTCTACCATACAAAAAGAGTTGTTTTGTCTTACCCTATAGTTTATCAGGATTATTGTTCTTATGAGTGTTTAAGAAGTTGGCTAGCGAGATCTTGAGTGAAGTTCGGGATACCTGATTTATGTGTCTCAGGTTGAACATTGTTAGAGTCACGACCTATAGTATTGTTTGCTCGAAATCCTGAACCACGGCCGCGTCCTCGTTCTGTGTCAAAACCACGACCACATGAGGATGATCTATCTGATCCTCTGCTTCCCGTGTTTTTGCTCTTCTCTATCCACCAGTCAGGGGATCCAATGATCTGAAAGCAGTTGGATGGGTCATGTCCAGTCTTTCCACAATGTGTGCATGATGTGGAAGGACAAATAAATTTTGGTGCAGAAGCTTTCTCATGATGTTGATGCGATAACGTAGTTGCAGAAAATCCCACTGGTTGTGGTCGCTCTTCAGTTGTACGCATAGAGTTCAGATGACGTTCCTCATGTATTATATGTGAGTAAACCGTATCAAGAGTCGTTGTGGTTTGTCTACTCAAGATATTCAATCGAACTATTCCGAATCATGAGTTATCAAGTCCCATAAGGAACTGATAAACTCGTATTTTCTCCTGACTTTTCTCGAAATTCACCATTGATTTACATTCAGAGTTGCCACAACAGCAAGTGAATCTTTTCTCTAAATCGGCCAAGTCATCCCACATGACCTTTAGTCGGCCGAAAAAAAATTCCACTGTATCACCATCTTATTTACAGGAGGTTATATCTGCAAGAAGTTGATGAATGCTGGTATCGTCATTAACAGAAAACCGTCTTTAAAGACTACCCCACATAGCCTTTACACTATCAACAAACATTATATGTAACATGTTTTTATTATAAAACAGTAAACCATGCGGCAAGAAAGTATTTTACCAAATTGATGAAGTAATATCGAGTAACTTTACAAATTCAACCACATTGTTTTGATTACCCTTGAATGCAAGATCCAGCTTTTTCTTCACACGATTAATCACAGCTTCTGCCAGCAAATCGAAACCTTAACATCGAAGCTGTAGAATAAAAGATGGGAAGACTCGAAGAACTAAATACATCTATTTCCTTAGGCTCTGCATAATTAATTTTTTCTGCCATACAAAAAAGTTTCTACAATCTATTTCAGTAAGTTTAAATAAATACCAAACAAAGAAGATATAGAAAATGAAGTACATCGTAATTGTTTTGAGCACATAAGTCGTAAACCGGCCTATATGTAAGCCGAACACATTAAATCCATCCAGAATTAGATTCTTGAAGGTGATGTATGGAGCCGAGCCAGGAGTCAAGACAAAATTTAGAATATCCATAATAGAAGACAAAAATAGAGAGGGTAGAATTTATAGAGAAATTGTTTTGTGAGGATTGTAGCAAGAGTCTTTTGTTGTGAGTGGCCATAATTTATAAGAGTGCATGCACTACATATGGATTCCCAGATTCTTCTGGAAGGGTGGATGTACTAACGATAAGTTTTGAAGGAGTTAATTTGGAATTTTGGTGATTACGTTTGTTGGGGAAGAAGATCTAGCGATTTTTTGTTCACCTTCCATTCTTTTCCCATTCAGATGACGATATGTTTGATGAAGAAGGAGAAGGTTGGACGATAGTTATTGATATTAGAAACTTGTCTTTGGAACTGCTATGAATTGGACTTCGGTTAATATTGTGCATTCCCATTAAAAAGAAACAAAGAATGAATTTTATTTACAAGGGAGGTCCATTTGTTATGGAAGCTCATCTAAATTTTAAAACAAAGTCCTATTATAATAAAGATTTTTGTTTAAATGCTTTTAAGTGTAATCACATAGAATATGTAAATCATATAGTCATAAAACTAGGTTTAGGTGTTTGGGGTCCCAATCGGGTTTTGGTTTGGTCCAATCAGGTTTGGGTTTTCGGGTTTATCAAAATTAGTTATATTCGGGTTAATGAAAGTTCAGTTCGGGTTCTACCGAATTCAGGTTGGGGTTAATAAAATTTCAAAGAACCAGTATAACCCATTGTACTTTCAATTTCAGGTCTCTATCGGTTTTTTGGTTTAAGAGTATCTAGCTTGTACTTACTCTGTAACTAAAACATAAGTAAAATTGATTCTTCGAATTTAAAGTACATGATTTATACCTATTTTCTAACCAAAATATAAATAAAATTGATTAAAAAATAAGAAAAGAACATCAAACGTGATCATTTAAAATCAAATGAAAGGTGAACATAGTTACTGATAGAAAGAAAATCAAATAAATGAATACATAAAACGAAAACCAAGTTCTTATGAAAAGAGAAGCATTATTCATTGAAAATAAAACCAAATCTAAAAACTTCAAGCTTCAACTACTACCTATAACGATCAACTTTCATGTAAAAGTAATTATTTTAGATGTTTAATAATATTTTTAAGTATTTTGGATATATATTAGGAATTGAAATCATGTTTGTTACAAGTTTTTTTTTTAGATTTTGAATATCTCGGATTCTATTGAATATTCATTTACGTCTGGGTTTGGTTAGATAACACCTATAACCCGAAATACCATAAAACAAAATTCATTCGTTATTTATATCAAGTTTAGATCAATTTGGATTTATTTTTATCGGGCGGGCGATTTCGGTTTATTTGCCTAGTCTTAGGGTCCGACTGGTTTCCCCGCTACCACCCGCAAACGCAGCTTTTGCGGTTGATGGCGGTTGCTAGCGTTTTGCAACAATCACAAAAACCGCTACAAATCGCTTCAAACCGCTCCCAACCTCTTAAAATCAAAAGCTGGTTTCAGCTAGCGTTTGCGTTTGCGGGCGATTGCGGGTGGGTAAAAAACTATTTTTTTAAT